TGCAATCTGTCGGTGCATACGACGAATAAACATCGACGCTTCGTTCTGTAGCTGTTGACTCGTACTGAACCATCCAGACGTACGGCGCAAAGTCGGCTGTTAACCGGGATCCAATCGAGAAGTGAACGCTCGGCCTTGACACTCAGCGCAGTCCCAACACCAGCAACACTGCGAGCTTCGGATTTCGAATCGCCTGACACAAGGAGAGTGAAGTGTGAGGATGAGGTTGAATCTGCAGAACGCAAGTAGAGGACTGAATTAGGGTATTGTATACGTGTTTTGGAGACAGCACACATCGAAATGGAAGGTTTCAAGGGTTCTAGCTAAGGCGGCTTGTTGACCAATATGATAGAGTGTGCGGACATTAAATGCGGCTAAGTGGAAAGGCGATTTTGGTTTCAAAAATCTGATAGCTTCTGAGTGGTTGACCTTATTAGTAGTTAGTGGTATCCGAAGTGTGGCGCAAACAGGATGCATCTCTTAAGGTATGCGAGTGAGAAGATGAACTAGACAGTTGAGAAAGACGGTCCTCCAAATGGGTACCTAAGACTTTTGGACATGGCATACTTCGCGGTTGCCCACATCGACGAAGGAGCTTTTCCTTGGGGACCCTAACCGCAGCCTTTGACTCAAAAGTTTGACCCATAAGGCAGTGGGGCGTAAATCCAACGCGGGAGCGTGAACGAAGCACCCGTGGGAGCTTCTAGAGGCTTGTCACGCAGGGCCTTTGAATTTCGGTTAAGTTTGTTGTTCACTGGTGCGTTGATTGTCGGTCCGCTTTTCGTGATCGGTCCTTAGCCTCATGCACCCAATGAGACAAGCGGAACGTGAACGGGACAGCACCTTATTGGGCTGGCGGTAGCTGTCCAATGAAGTGCGAGGACTTCTCCCACCGTCGAGAGGAAGCCCCAGGTACCCCGCTCTTACGTCCATCTAACGGGGGGTTTTGACCGGTAAACTGCCCCTAGCCGTGTTTATTTACTGGAGTGACCTCTCCAGCGGCGGATGTGGATAGAAAAGGAAGCCAAGAGGTGCCAAAGCAGCTGGCCTTGTGAGACTGATCTTCGTCTGGCCTCTACCCCTTGACCTTTTAGGCATGATTGGATCTGTGACTGAGGAGCCATCCTATATAGCTCGCAGGGTCATTGAGGCGCGCAAGCCATCACACCACGCCAAGGTGCAGTCTCGTCGTGATGGAAAGTCATTGACCCTCTCACTTCCGAGTCGAGGGATTACTTCCTGCTGGCTTGCAGTTGGTACTTGGTTGTGCAAACGCTAGAGGTGCGACCTCAAAATAAAAAACGCCCAGTGACGCTGGGGACGTCTTTTGTACCGAATTTCCAGGGAACTGCATGAGCATGTCTGGAGCCGGCTTATCTTTTCCAAGGAGCCAGCAGCAGTAAAGTAAGTAAGAGACAGTGAAACGAATTGCAGTACGGTGCTTGANAAAGAAGAGGGTTGACCTCGGGGGTCCCACCCGAAGCCTTGACTAGAAAGCCAGAACTCCAAAACAGCAGAACGCAGTAATATCAGGTGAGTGGCAGAAACGGGAAATTTTAAGATTTCGGAGTGAGACGAAGAACCATATAGATGAGAAAGAGGTTTTTTCAAATTGGTGTCTGAAAATTTAGGGCAAAATACACTTCTCGGTAGCCCACATGGACCAGCGGGCTTGTCTTTGGGAATGCTAATCGGATCCTTGACTGAAGAATTTGATCCACAAGGCCATAGGGTGCAAATCCAACGCGGGGGTGTCAACAAAGCACCCGTGTGGGATCTTATAGAGACCTATCACGCAAGGCCTTCGGGTTTGTTTTCAGAGTGTTGCTTGCTGATACACTGATCGACGGTCCACTGTATGCAGTCGGCCTTAAGTCACAAGCACCCAATGAGACAGGCGGAACAAGGACGGGAAAGAACTGTATTGGTTGGAGGCTAACCAGCTTGATTGGGTGGCAGTTTTCCAATGAAGTGCGAAAACGTCTCCCACTGTCGGAGCTCCAGGTGTCCCGATCATGCACCAATCTTGCGGAGGGTTGCAACCGGTTAACTGCTCCTCCCCATATTTATTTCCTGGATTGTCCTCTTCAGGGGTGGGAGCTAATAGAAAAAGTAATCCAGGAGGTGCCCAATCAGTTGGCTTCGAGAGGCTGACTTTACCTGGCCTCTGTCCAATGATCCTTTACGCATGATTGGATCTGTGGTGAGAAGCCGTCCCGTATAGCTCGCTGGAGGAGGCACATAAGTTAATACATCGCGTAAAGGCGCAGTCTAGTCGTGATGGTATAGATTCACAAAACCTGACATTTTTGTGTTTCATAGTCACTTCCAATTTCATAGTGATGACATGCCATGTTTCTGGTTTGCATAAATATAACAGCACGGCCTCGTATCGTGGTTCTTTGATGACAAGTGACATCTCTGGTATTTCCTTTAATGAAATAAATGAAGAGTTATATGAAGCATGAATGGGTTCAGATGACTGATTTGTTTTAAAGAACCTCTATGTCCCTTCAAATCCACTGTAATCTTACCTTTTAAAATGTCGTTCTCATACCGCTAGTCGTTTCTAATTCCAATTACCTCCTCTGCATATTAACTGGTATCCATTGCATGCAAATGTCGAAAAAATGAGTTAACTCATAATCCACGCGCAAGTCTCAGACTCCAAACTCATATCATTCATCAATTTACCTCATCAATTATTTTACTTTTCTTTTCACTGTAAATTTCCTCTATGCGGTCAGTGGAATGTCAGTTCAAAAGTGTGCGAGAGCTCCGGTAATACAAAGACAAAATTACCAAAGTACCGCCAAAGTTCCCATCTCACTTCCGTTTCTACGCCAGTCGAGAAACTAGGATGCCTCTAACGGGTACTAGTGGTTATCATAATGTATGGCATAAACGGATTACAGCAGGCTTTTCGGAGAAGAGATAATTTGCGGATTACTTACTCTATACTTTCCCTCCTGCCCAGAATTGAAAAACTGGATTCTTCATTAATTTCCAACTATTTCACCGTTTTTAGTATATATTTTAATAACATGATTTACTTTTTTTAATTCACAAATATTGAGAAACATAAAAATCTGAAGAAAGTACATCGCAGATGCGCTAGTGAAGAAGCGAATGCAAACATGAGAATTAAATGGTGACACTCGAACATTTCTATGATTATATTAGCTTTGACAAGGTTACTGATTTCTCGTTCTGTGCTGAGACCACATTTTCCAAATGTAACTCCGGAATCCGATCACGCAAAAAATTGATCGTCCATGTTTGAAATAATACTAGCACGAACATGTAGTAATAACGGAATTTCAAAGACTCTATTCAGGCCTAAACCAAAGGAAACTTCGTATACTTACCACGGGCGCCTCCAATTTATTTCCCAATAAAGCATAAGTAGCGAAGGTTGAACTGGCTAGCAGAGGTGGACAAGCGGCCCAGCAAAAGACGCAACCTGCATCCAGTAATTTTTGGCCCCAAAGCGCACGTAGCTCGCCTTTTCGGGCTTCCTTGATTCTTTTGCGCATAAGACCTTCCCAACAGGCTATTTTCACAGCAGTCATGCACGGCAGAACTTCAGACATGAGCTAAGTTAGGGAGAAAAACCATGAAAGGAGTGGTGATAGTATCTTTTGTCCATAAACATTTTTAACTTATCCAACATAAAAATCTGTACATTTCATTCCACATTTTACTATGATCACAAAAGCACTTAAACCTAAAGCCGCGAGGTTTCAGTGTTTAACTATCAAAATATATTCTGAGGGTTGAGAAACTACAATAACACAGTTAGAGTAGGAGGCAATAACGGGGGTGCTTAATACCTAAGTTTTGTGACGGCTGCAGAGAATGAACTTCAGAACTTACACGTCAATGAGCGTCAGTGAAAGCAACTTCAATTACTTGATAGTCGTCTGTATTGAATAATTCAATCTATTATCTTGAAAAATAACACGATTACATTGGAAGGGCATTATTGCAAACTGTCAAAGTTCGGTATATTCATCGCGAAACTCGCTGCCTTCAATGCCTACTTTATTCTGTCTGAAAACACATGCTTTCAGTTTTTTCAATGCATGCATTAGTTATATGGTAGATAAAAATGCAGCAAAGTAATGCAATCAACTGATCAATAGAAAATGACAAGGGTAAAAATAAACCAATACTTAAAAAGCAGGATATCAGTTTAAAACTAATAATAACAGCTATTCTAGCAATTTCAATAATCGACAACCATTGTTAATGTAAAGTGCATGTTACGTTCTAGTGAAGTGATGAATGCTTTAGAATATGCGTAAGGTAGGAGCTGAGTACTCCAAAGGACTCAAACATTTATGAATACCCAAAGCAGGAGTTTGTAAAATTATTAGCTGGAATCGGTTATCCAAATATAAAGTTGGTTTGACCGACTCATCTTGCAGATCCTAGAAGTAATAAAAAATCAATATATTCATTTTGAAAACCTTTTGGAACGGAAGGAACAGTTCGAAAAAGAAAAATTTGAATGAAAACGGTGAAAAATGATTACCTTGATTCTTATATCCTTAAAGCGCATCAGTCGCTGGGAGAATTTCCCAATTTGTTTAGCAAAAAGGCGATTGAGAGGTAAGAGAACACATAAAAATCCAACTCCAACAAAGCAGGAGACACCGAGCTGTTGATACAACAAAAAAATGGCCAAAGAAAATTGCAAAGGCATTGCCCAAACTTCTTGCAGACTTGGAGCGAGATTCACGATTCTTTCTGAGTCAGATGTCAGGTAATTCACCAAGCTACCGGTTCCAATATCGTTTAGGAGAGACAGAGGAACAGCAAGTATTTTACGGTATATCATTCCACTCACGGAAACGCGGATCTTATATCCAAAAGTTGACATGAAGTAGTTATAGTTACTTCCGAGAATGGCATTGAATAGAGTGGATAAAACGACGGCGAAGCCCCATGCTGAACAGGTTCCCAAGTTCATATTGCTGCTTGAAAGACTCAAAATGAAGTGATTCAAGAGGATAGGATTCACAATGCTGACAACACTGATAACCAACTTGATGAAGGCGAGGAAAGCGAATTCTCGACCAAATATTTTTACCGCACACCTTATGAAAGGCCAGGCTCTCGGCTGTTTGGTTCGATCTCCAAAAGGCACATCCGGGAGAGAATAAGGAAGTTTCGATTCCAAAACATGTGCATTCAAACGACTTGGAATCATCGGCAGCGAGAAAACATCTTTCAATTCACCGAAATACCCAGAGTAAATCACGCGATTCATCCAACAAAAAAATACCCTGGATATACAATGCGCTTTGTCTTCTGAATTACATTGATCAGTTTCATACACGTCTACTGTTTGAGCTTCTCCGTTTGAGTTGACCAAAATCGATCTTGAGGAGTCAACTTCTCTGTCAATTGCGGATCTGGCAATCCGGGCTTGTCTTATCCTGGGATGCTCGGTGTTATAGACAACCGGCACCTTAGAGAGGAGATGAAAACATACACAGATTAGGTGAATAGCTCGGAGAGTTAGAGATAACTTTCGCCATGGATCACCAATTTGCTGATAAGCTGACCATAAAACGACAACGCAAGCATAAAAGTAGCATAAAGAGAGAAACAGGTGGATAAAGGGACCTCTAGAAGAGTGTTTAGAAGACTTTCCCAGCAATGCGTCATGGATAAAGACGACGGTCCAACACAACGTCGTAATACCGTAGAATACTACTTCAGATCTTCTTCCGGAGGCATATGAGTCACTGATTAGCGGGAGCACATTGCTTAATACAATTCCAATGAGATTCACAGTGACCATGAAAAATACCACGATAAGTCTGAACCAAAATATCCACGACTGGAATGTTTCAAAAGCAAGACTTCTTTTGTAGATGAAGCAGTAGATTACCGAAGCAAGGAGATATATGATACACAAAGGAGTGTAAATGAAAAGTTGGAAAAAACAAAGACCGAAACTTTCTTGCGTCCAAACACTGAATGAAAAGGGGCCACAAAATCCATTTTCATCCATATTGAGTCGAGATGTCTGCATCTACCGTTGTGTCAGAACGATTAATCAAGAAAGACTAATAAATTGTTGATTGTAACACATAACAAAGTGGCGAAGTCCATAGTGTGCTTCTACAAGGTGATCCCAAGGTCAGGTTCAGTTCAGTTCAGTTCAGTTGCACAGGACGAATATGGCTCTTGCCAATC